TATGGATCTCTGTGCGAGTCTATGGATCTCTGTGCGAGTTTATGGATGTCTGTGCGAGTCTATGGCTCTCTGTGCGAGTCTATGGCTCTCCGTGCGAGTCTATGGATCTCTTTGCGAGTCTATGGATCTCTGTGCGAGTCTATGTCTCCGTGGTAGTCTATGGATCTCTGTGCGAGTCTATGGCTCTCCGTGCGAGTCTATGGCTCTCCGTGCGAGTCTATGGATCTCTGTGCGAGTCTATGACTCTCTGTGCGAGTCTATGGCTCTCCGTGTGAGTCTATGAATGTCCGTACGAGTTTATGTCCCTCCGTGTGAGTCTATGAATCTCTATGCGAGTCTATGGTACTCCGTGTGAGTCTATGGCTCTGCGTGCGAGACTATGAATGTCCGTACGAGTTTATGTCCCTCCGTGTGAGTCTATGAATCTCTGTGCGAGTCTATGTCTCTCCGTGCGAGTCTATGAATCTCTGTGCCAGTCTATGAATCTCTGTGTCAGTCTATGAATCTCTGTGCGAGTCTATGGCTCTCCGTGCGAGTCTATGAATCTCTGCGCGAGTCTATGCGTTATCGGTGGGGTCTCTATGCGAGTCCATGGGTCTCTATTGCGAGTGTTAATTGCTATCGGTTTCAACTTTTAATCGTTTGTTGATGCTCGCTTCCCATTTGGGCTCTTGGACCTGTGCTCAACAACCGTAATAAAATATAAATATATATGCAAGTACATGTGCATTCAATTTACACACTGTATGTGTGCGCGTATCTACAAGTACACGTGTTGTGTATATGTTCACATCGGGCGATCCATGTACAGACACCCCACTAAAAGAACAGGGAGGAATTACAGAGCGGGGCACGTGCGACCTTTGCGTTTTAAAAGCGCGCTCATCTCAACACACGCATTGAAATCCTTCAGCGAGTGCCCTTCAGCGCAAGAAGATACGCGAACCATCACCATCCCAGCACACTTCTCAGTCACCTGTTGAGATGAGAGTTTATAGGGGTCATTCGAACCCGATGGGCTATCTGTAAATGGATCACCCCGAAGTTTACGCCGTTTTACAGTTTGTGTCGTTGCAGTGGTATAAATGTCTAGGCCATGTGACACACACAATATATACACACACGCACAGTTTCATATGCATATAAAGTATGTATTTTGAAGGCGAATGGAAGCTTTCATCCAGCAGCGGATTAATGGTCGTTCGTGATGATAATGTGTTTTAGACGGTCGTGCGGATGGGAGCGGTGGCGCAGTGATTAGCACACTTCGCTACGAACCCGGCGCTTTGCTTTCGAATCCCGCTCACGGTTAACATCGGCGACGATTATCTAAACCGGCTGTGGGTGGGCGCTCCCCTAGGTCGACTCAGCCTTAAGAACGAGTACCTGGTGCGCTGTGCCGACATCACCACTGGTGAGACAAAGGCGGCCGGGCGTGGTGCTGACCACACTACCTACGCCACCCTCGGTACGCCGTGCCGGTGGCTCGCTAACGGCACTTGCCCCAATGGGCTGTAGAGGCTATCGGGGGGATCTTTGTGTCACCATGTGCCTGTGAGTGAGTGTGTAGCGCACTGCGCTCTGGGGGATGTTTTCTGTTTTCAATTACTCCCTGCGGCGTGTTTCGCGTGATTACAATGCGTATTAAAAAACACACACACAAAGAGATTGTAAGCAAGAACCTTTGGTTACTCAGCCTGTAAGCGGTAACAATGCGGCCTTGTGATACGCAGCGCTTGGGTTTGACTCCTATCCCGGGTTCTAAGCCGGGCTCTCAAGGGCAGCGAGATGATGCTCTCAGCACGCGGACACCAATGAATTGCGTACAGATCGACTGAATCACATCGACAACCGCATAGACTCGCATAGAGACCCTAAAGACTCACGTAGAAACCCACAGACTCGCACCAGAGATATCCATAGACTCAATCAAAATGAATTGTAACTCGCTGAACAACAAAAAAAAACCCCTCTAAGTCCGTCAACAAAACCTCAATAACGTCCGAACGGAGCGAAAGAAGTTAAAAAGAAGAGCCATTGCCCGACGTTTCGGGCAATGGCTCTTCTTCACAGCACACAGAGAAGCTAGAGAGGTAGAGTGGATAACAGTTGGAGGCAAGCACTTTATATTCAATGGGACCTGATAGTAATTCGATTAAAAAAATACTTCTTACTCCAACGAACATTGTTGCAGACTGGTGTTCATCTCTTGGTTACAGCCCTGCAGAGCCAGTAGTGGAAATTCCACATTCCTACGGGGGGGGGGGGGGAGCGAGTCGATCAACTGTTTGCGTCTTCACAAAGTGTATGGTACTTAAATTTTGATTTAAAGCTTTCGTGACTGCAGTAATTCATATTCTTAGTTTTTTCGGTAAAGTCACGTTGAAGGGAAACGTGACTTTACCGAAAAAACTAAGAATATGAATGGTACTTATTTTATCGACCGAGGGTTAGGGATGATGGGCTGAGCCAAAAACCCCAAGCAGGATTTGAACTCAGAAGCTCGCCCATTGCGAGTCGCTCACTCTACCGCTGAGCCAATCGGCCGGTTGTTAAAGAGCTTTATAGCGCATCGGATTCCTCCAGTATAAATATACACATGAACGATGCGTTTACATACATGGCAGAGATATTACGTTCTCACAGACCTCCCTCTGTATTGCCTATGCAGTATGTTAGTGTAGTCTGCGACCACCTATTAATTTCGGTTACTCGTTTAAGTTCGAGTCGAGTAGGGCCACAGACAAAGAACCCCCGTATAGCCTTCACAGGCTGTCGGGGCAAGTGCTGTTAGCCGGCACGGCACAAGAGGGTTGAGTGGCCAGCACCACGCCCGACCGCCTTTGTCTCCCTAGGTCACGATGTTTACACACCGCACCCGGGTACGCATTTGAGGCTGAGTCAAGGACAGAGACCGAGTCAAAAGTCAAAGACACACACACGAGCGCAACGTTGCCCCCGTTAAGGTCTCCAACAGATTCTTTGGGCAAAGTCAATGCCGGACTAAGCTAGTGCGGGGCCTGTAGCATGATGTTATAAAGGGGCCGTAAATAATAAAAAAACACACAAATATTAAAACACGTAAATGTTTAACTTGCATAGTAAAGTAATTGATTTTTTTTAATTTGCTATACAGCCAGATAATACGACAAATCGCTAACCTTAAACACCGAGTCGTTCGTAAAAGTTGAAGGCGCTATAGCACTATAGTAATAGAGCACGTGCAGAATCACTGAACCGGAATTGATAGCTTGAAAGCATTTAGCGCGGGGCCCTTGAAAGTGCGGGGACCGTAGTTACTACACAAGTAGTAGCTACTACTTGTGTAGTAGCTACAACATGTGTAGCTACTACTTATGTAGCTACTACATGTGTAGCTACTACACATGGAGCTACTTGTGCTACTAGGATCATCCGGCAATGGGCAAAGTGCCGTTCCTGAGCCTCTATTCCACAGAGAACAACACGTACACAAATACAGACACACACACACATATAGAGAGACACAGGAATAGAGACAGACGCACGGCGACATGAAAACACCGAGAGAGAGACAGCAACATGAAACTGCCGTTCGCCACTCAGTGGCGGTGACATCGCCACTGCGCTTGCGCCAGGCTTGGTGCACCCTGAGACGCGTGCGCGCACAGAGACACGCGAACTTAAAGAGAAACACGGAGAGATAGTCAGGTGCTTAAAAACAGACAAAGACACACACACAGATACAGACAGTTAGAAGGTACACATCGAGACTGAGAAGTCTGCAACACACCCAGCTCGTCACTCATCCCCTCCTAGGACCCTTCCATTCCCGCCCACGTGGTCGTCATTGTCTCCATTCTATTGTGTGAGTCAATGGCCAATTAACGCAGTTAAAGGGAGGAGCGGTCTGGTCAGGTTTAGCGAGAGGAAGAGCAGGGGTGGGGGTGGAGAGTGTGAGATGTGTGTGTGTGTATGCATTGTTGAATTTATTTCGCGTCGTACATAGCCAGCGAGTCGTGCTAATCGGAGGCGCGGTGGCTAGGAGATGTTAACTACCTCGCCGGGTCTACCAGAGACCGTGGGTTCGATCCGACGCCTGCTGCTGTATTTTTGGAGTCTGTGTGTATCTCTCCCCGTGGTCGCGTGGATTTTTCTCCGGCTACTCCGGTGTGTCCCCCCCCCACCACCGCACATTAGGAATCAACAAGTATTTGTCGACTATACATTTCTACGCGATACGCCACTACGTTGAGCTGTCATTTGTGACCAGGTCGCTTCAGAAAGAGAGCTGGATAGCCCAGTGGGCATTACCTGGTACAATCTAAATAGTTTAGATCGTGACTTAAAACTTTCGTGACTATAGGAATTCATATTCTTTGAGTCTTTCGGTAAAGCCACGTAGATAAAAAAATAAAATAATAATAATAAAATAATAATGAAAAACCAAAAACTCGCGAGGTTTCGATCGCAACACAAGCGATCGTCTCCGTGACTTTGGCGAAAGAACCAAAGAATCGGAGACTGGTTTCTAGTGCGTACACGTCTCCCCGTTCGTCTATCACCCTCCCATCCACCCCCACTTCGTCTGTACCAATCCCTGGACTCTCTCGGCCACGTCCCGATGGTTATCCCATTAATGTCGCTCGCGAAATGGGATATCATTGAACCGACGTGGAGAGGGAGAGAGTCACGCGCACCTCTCTCGTCGCACGGTGCAGCCCTGGCCCTTGTTGGGTGCGGCTCAGGGGGCGCAGGTTGTGGGTTTTTTTCCCCACTGCACAAGCCGAGCCGTGCCGAGCCGTGCCGTGCCGTGCCGAGCCGCTGGTGTCACTCGCAACGGACAAATCGAGATGCGTGTAGATGCCCCGGGTGTCATGGTTGGTCACCAGTCCCAGCACTGTCCAGGCTCAACCCCGCTTAGCTTTCCGATATCTTGATGGTTGACTTACATAATGATTCTCCCACCCCCCCTACCACTTACTCACCCCCCCTCCCTTCTCCCCCCCCCCCCCATCCAGGAACGATTCTGCGCAGATCGATGGTGGAATTGGACGATGAAGGCGGGCCGCATCCTCCTCCTCCTACGCCTTCCTCTCGTCACGGGCACACGCGAAAGTCACTTTTCAATCTCTCTTTAGAAAATAAAAATCACTGACACGGATCCCCATGCCCGCGTCGGACATTCCGAGACGCGCAGCCTGGGATTGTAACCACGAGGGGTGCCGCGATAATCGCGTCGACCGTGATAATCGCGATATAGCAGCGTGCGATAACGATGTTCACGATAATCGCCTCGTCGTTCAGTTGTGCAGAATATCTCTGCGCGCCCTCGTGGTGACGGTGGTGGCGGTGGTGGCGGCGGCGGCCGAGATCGCTACTCGTGCTTGAAGCATAAATAAATAAATATTATTTAATTCCCTGCCAAAATATTTATGAAATTACAAACTCGGCAATTAAGGTTGTAAGTAAATACGGTTTTACCCGTTTAAATTAGTGCTTCGCAAAACGTTTCGAGAGTAATTAATGGCATCGCAATTAGATGACGGCATCGATTGGGTAGTTAGTTTAATCATCTCGGTATTTCTGTGGTAACTGACTGCATGTGAGGATGTTGGTCCACTCTTGCCCATTTGCCTGTGACTTGATCCTTACTTTTACATCCCCCCTCTGCTCTCTATATCGTCTCCCATCCGCTTCCCTTCTACTCCTCCACTAAATAAACAAAACTCACGGATTGTTTAGCCCCATCCTGTATCTGTCCCTCCACATAAAAGAGAATACACTTTTTTTTTTGACTCATCACATCAGCCCCCACCGCCTTGTTGGGAGCATTATTTATTTTCCTTCAGCGGCAAACTATGGATCGGTTTCGACGTTTCGGTGTCTCATCAGCAGAGTGCCGTAGTCAAGGCTCGCTTTTTGTATTTTCTTCAGCAGCATTCGTTCATTCAAAACCAAACTCTGGCGCAGTTTCGACGTTTCGGTGCCGTAGTCAAGGCTCGCTTCAACCAATGCTGATGAACTGCCCAGATGTTTGGAAGATAAGGTCACTGTCCTTCTCTCCGTTGTCAGATAGGGGTGGGGTCCTTGATTTGACGCAAGTCTCTAGAACCTGTGTGTTTATACGGCAGGAGGAATCCGATGAGCTATAAATATTCTGATTCTATGATACAACGCAGAACGATCACCACTCGCGGCGCTGTGGAGAATATGCAGTATTAGTAATCACGGTATTTTCTGCATTTTGTCGTTTCTGTATCGTTACTGAAAAAAACCCGAAATAAAATATATATACTGTATATATAACAACAAAAATACATCGAAATAAAAACCGCTGGAGTCTTTGTCCAAGTCGACATTGGATGTCAATGGGAAAACGGGCTGGCACTTTCCATGAGAATGTGGAATGTCCACACACCGGCTCAGGGCCACCAAGAGTATACAACATGTGTGAGCCCTCTGCCCCTCCCCATCGGCACGTGGAGGAGGGAAGAGCCACCTCTGACCATGACGCTGTCTATTCGCGTCCTCTCTCTCTCTCTCGCATGAGTGGCCTAGTTTGTGCCGGAAAGGCGCCGCGTGTTTCAGCAGCAGCAGCAACAAACAACACAACACAAACAACAACAACAACAATCAAAACATAGAGTCGACTCTGACTTGTTGTTGGCGATCCGCTGCCTTGCGGTGTCGCAACGGCGTCTCGCGATGCCGAGTGGGGAACCAAAACATTTGCGAGTGGCCTCGCGACGTTCGGCTACGTACGGTGCGAAAGAAGTTCGACGCACCGTACGCACTGCACGCGCGCGGATCCCAAGTGCAGGAAAAGGTCGAATGGGACCGCGTGGTCCGTGAAATCGCGACCGCAGTCGCGTCCTGCAACTCGTCGTCATGCACGCGAATACTCGCTCAGAGCACTTGCCCCGATCTGCTGTTCAGGCTATACGGGGGATCTTTGTCTTCGGTTTCCTTTGTGCGCATGTATACGTATCCATGTATGTCTCGAAGCAAATAACAAAGGCAAAGATTTCACGGAGAGAATATGAAGGATTAATAAAGAATTAAAGCTTTCGTGACTGCATAAATTACTCATTGGTTTTTTTCGGTAAAGTCACGTTTGTAGAAATGCCATAAAATTATATTAAAATAAATCAATCACGACGTTCGACCGCAACACAAGCGATCTTCGTGGTCCGCCAGGCAAGTGTCTAACTGTGTTGTTGGCCTGACTGGTTTTGCATCACGTAATTTTTTCTTAGGTTTGTTGAATTCTCGTCTCTCATCTTCTTGTTGTATTTACCTCCGTGTAAGTTTAACGCTCTCTATGTGTTGCGTTGATGTCACCCTGTGTGCTCCCTCGCTATTTGTTTTTTACACCTGATGAAGATCGCTTGTGATGCGGTCAAAACGTCGTGATTGATTTGTTTTAACATAATTTTATGGAATTTCTCCAAACGTGACCTTACCGAAAAAAACAATGAGTAATATGAAGGCTGTTGGGGCAAACGTCGCTAGCGAGCTCCAATGAAGGCCGGAACGGTCTTCCAAAGAGACTAAGCGGCCAGAATCACGCCCGACCGCCTTTGTCTCCCCAGTGATGACGTACACACACCGCGCTTGGTGCTGTCCTCGATTTTAAGGCTGAGTCGACCTCGGGAAGGGCCAGAATCGGTTCAGATATTCGCCACTCATGTGAGCGGCAGTGGGGGAATTGAACTCGGGACAAACACACACGCACGCGCGCAAATCTTCGTGTATGTTGCTCACATGTGCGTATGATTACGTGTGTGCGTGTGTGTATGTTGTTTGTGTTTTGTACGCATGTGCCTGTGTGCGTATGTTGGGGGTGTTCTTTTTCTTGTTGTCTAAACACGCACGGCCGGCCGAGTGAGTGTGTCGCTCACACAGACACGCACACTCACTCACCCATCAAAAACAAAAGATCACCCCGTGTTGCCTTAACAGACAATGCTAGCGAGCAACCTATGAATGCCGGCTGGCATGTCGGCACGTGCGAGCGTGGGTAGCCAGAACCACGCCCGCTCGTCTTTGTCTCCCCAACGCTGACGTTTACACACCGGGGGGGGGGGGGGGTGGGGTGATGCCCAGCACGAGTTCAGATTTTTCGTCACCGATAGTCGCCGGACGTGGTGGGGTAGTGCGCTAACCACTACACGACCGCTACAACAACAACCGCCACTCGCCACTAAGTGGCGGTGACGTCACCACGACGCTTGTGCCAGGCCATGTGCACCTTGAGGCCACGTGAAGTGTCGAACACCCGCTGGCAGGAGGTCACGGGGCAGACCCAGCAGGTGCCACGGGTCGACTGACTGAGATGACTGAGATGAGTGGCTGATGCACCACCTGTGCCCCCTACTCTGCCAACCTGCTGTGCTTTAGCCACCCGGCGCTCCGCTCGTTGTTGTGAGCGTCGCTCCTCCGCCCTCCGTTGTTGTTGGAGGGCGACTGTCTCCAACTGCCCAGTAGCATCCTTCACGAGCCTTCTCCACAGAGGCCGATCTTGACACCGCTGGTACCGGTCATCGGCAAGTCCACGACCGCTACATACACATCTATCGTTGTGCGTGCGCGTGTCGCTTCACACACACGGACACAGATCGCCCATATAGCCTAAGCAGACTGTTGGGGCAAGTGCTGTTTGTGAGGTCGCCGTGGCCGGCACCACGCCCGCCCGCCTTTTTCTCCCCAGTGGCGATGTTTACACACCGCACCGGCTACTCATTTGAGGCTGAGTCGACGTAGGGGAGGCCCAGGACCGCTCCAGATAATCGTCAATGGGTGTTCGCCGTGAGCGGGAATCGAACTCGGGTCGCCGGGTTCGTAGCGCAGCGTAGCGCGAACCGCTACAACTACCGCTCCCGACACACACAGACAAATATCCCTCGCATAGCTGTTTGCGAGTAGCAGAACCTGATCATCATCATGAGCATCATCATGAGCATCATCCTTTCTCCTGGCGCAGTGAAGAGAACACGATCGAGTAACATTTGCAATGAAGGCCGCCACGGGACACGAGGCGAGTGGGTGTTGTTCAACACTACGCCACGGCGCGCTAACCGCTACACTACCGCTCCCCAAAACACAACAGACACACACACAGACACACACAGGTACACACAGCGAAATGAACACACAAGGCACGTAGAAAAAACACACACACACAGTCAACAACAACAACCGCCACTAAGTGGCGGTGACGTCACCAAGGGGCTTGTGCCAGGCAACACAGTCAAAAGACAAAGATCCCCCGTATAGCCTGTAACAGACTGTAGAGGCAAGTGCTGTTAGCGAGCACCTATGAAGGCCGGAACGGTACGCGAGGGGGTGGGTGGCCAGCACCACGCCCGACCGCCTTTGTCTCCCCAGTGGCAATGTTTTTTTTATCCACCGTACCAGGTACTCATTTGAGGCTGAGTCGACCTAGGGGAGGCCCAGGACCGGTTCAGATAATCGTCGCTGGTGTTGGCCGTGAGCGGGAATCGAACCCGGGTCGCCAGGTTCATAGCACAGCGCAGCGCTAACCGCTACACTACCGCTCCCCACACAGTCACACACAGCGACACACACACAGGCACACACAGCGACACACACACAGGCACACACGGCGACACACACACACAGAGAGACGTGTGCGCGGAGTACGGATTAGTCCCTGACACGCGGTAATTCCAGCATTTTTTTTCCAATTAAAGCTCTGAACCCATACCCCCCCCCCCAAGCCACAGCCACTTATCAGACGCGAACATATGTTCACTTAGGGTGGGGGCTTAAGGAATTCTGCTGCCATTTCACGCTCATTCGCCTTCTTATCCAAGAGAGCAACAACAACAACAAAAAAACGTCCGTATATATTTTTTTGCTGAATTGAATATTTTTTTAAACTATATGTGAATTTTATATTATTATTACTACTGCTGCCACAGACGTATTTTATTTAATGCGCGTGCCCGTCCGAATATTGTCGCGACGTTTGATGGTTTAAAGGCGGAGCGTGCAGCACATGGCGAGGCAGAGGAGATTGTCTGATGAGCCGATAGCCCTTCGCATGCGTCTTCGAGCAAAGCTTCAGTAGCAGAAGAGACATTTTGCAGGCGTCACGGTGCTACGGTATAGGAATGGGTCACGGCACGTGGTAAATGATACAGACGCATATATACAGAGTGTATATATATTATACACGGTGCGTATACTATTTCGGCGCCTCCGATTTTCACGGTCGGCTACGTAGGGTGCGAAAGAAGTTCAGCTGTTCAGAATTTTGCCGGATTATAAGACGCAACCTTCCTTCCCACCCGCTCTCCCTCGCTATTTTAAAACTAAAGTTTGGTGCGAGTTGCGTCTTATAATCCTGTTGGTGTATGTGTGACGGACCCGAGTTCGATTCCCGCTCAGGGCCAACGCCGGTGACGATTATCTGAACCGGTTTCTGGGCCTCCCCTAAGTCGACTCAGCCTCAAATGATTACCTGGTACGGTGTAGTAAACATCGCCACTGGGGAGACAAAGGCGGCCGGGCGTGGTGCTGGCCACCCACCCACTCGTGTGCCGTGCCGGCCTTCATAAGTTGCTCTCTAACAGCACTTGCCAAAAAGTCTGTTCAAGGCTATACGGGGGATCTTTGCCCTTACCTTTGTGACCGGATTTGTGTAATTCTGTTGACACCGGGGCACGCGTTTGGGGGTGCGTCTTACTATCGGGAGCGTCTTGTAATCGCTGCTCGCTAACCACAGGGGCCTAACCGATCTGTGTACGCTGTATTAAACTCCCAAACTATTTTCTATTTTACCAGGTAAGGCGCACTGAGATCTATAGGTCTTGTCTTTTTTTAAGAAGCGACCTAGCTGTCACAAATGATAGCTCAACGAGCAGTGGCTCATCATCGCGTGGAAATGTCTAACAGCCAAACGACTCTAAACGCGTTGACGTTGATTCTAAACGTGAAGGGGACAAACCGGGAGGACCCAGAGAAAAATCCCCGCGACCACGGGGAGAGACAGACACGCAAACTCCAAATATACAGCAGCAGGCTTCAGGGTCGAGGTCGAACCCACGACCTCCTGCATAGCAGGCGAGGTAGTCAACATCTCCTAGCCACCGTGATGATGATGAGAGAGAGAGAGAGACACAAACTCCAAATATACAGGAGGCGTCATGGTCGGGATCGAATCCACGACCTCCTGCATAGCGGGGGAGGTTGTCAACATCTCCTAGCCACCGTGATGATGATGAGAGAGACAGAGACACGCAAACTCCAAATATACAGCAGCAGGCATCAGATCGAGATCGAACCCACGACCTCCTGCATAGCAGGGGAGGTAGTCAACATCTCCTAGCCACCGTGATGATGATGAGAGAGACAGAGACACGCAAACTCCAAATATACAGCAGCAGGCTTCAGGGTCGAGGTCGAATCCACGACCTCCTGTATACCAGGCGAGGTAGTTAACATCTCCTAGCCACCGTGGCGCCTTCTACAGGGTGGGGAGATGATCTTTGTATCTGTACATGAAGTACGTAATAATAATAATTCACAAAGCTCTGTAAATCCACTGCCGGATGAGTGCTCCACCTACGCCGCGTGGGTCGTCGTGGGCGTTATTTGACCATACTTCACCAGGCTGGTTAGTGCCGGTTTGACGTGGGAGCAGACAACAAGAGAATGACCATCGCAACCATACACAGTAATACACAAATACGTACACAAATAACACGCAGATACATGCATTCATACATACACAAATACATACACAAACACATATATACACAGATATCTACGCAGATATATACACAAATGCAAACGCAAATGCATGCACAGATACCTACACAGTCGGGGTTGGTGGTTCAGGCAAAGATTACTACGTTGTTGTGAGACTCACAACCCGCCCTCCGCCCCCATTGCGTTGCTTGGTGGCCATGAGTTGGTAGCACGTGGATTGGTGAATCCATCTGTGTGGATATTTGATCAGTTGTTCACTTGTGTGCGCGGTGGGGTCTGCCGCGGCGTGATAGCGAACACATCATCATCATCAGCATCATCATCACCAACA